GCTTTCCGGCCCTACCCGACTGCCCGGGCCACAAGTCAGCCGCGGGCTGAGCCCCTGCCTCTTTCAGCGCGGGCTGACGACGTGACACCCCACAACCCGCCAAGGGCAGCCTCTCGGACCCCACACCGACCCCGCACCCGGGATGCGCCTCGCTCTCTCCCGCGTCTCTTCGACTCCCCGGCAACCCTCACCTTCTCCTCATGGCGGACGAGCCAAGCGGCCGGGCGTCCAGCCCCCTGACCTGCTCCACGCGAGTCCGAGCGCGGAAATCCCCAGCACACCTGCGAACTCGCTCCGCGACGCCGCTCCGCGAGCCGTTGGGCACCGCGGATTTTCAAACCAAGCCCCGAGGCAGAGCAGCCTCGCGATTGGTCTCCAGTCCCGTCGCTCCTCACGAAGTCCCGCCCTCATCCCCGCCCCGCCCCGCCAGCTGTGAATAGCACGTGGCTCGGGAAGTCCCGGCCCTCGGGCTGGGGGAGGGGCCAGGAGCTGGACGTGGGACACGCCGTGGGGGTGGAGCTGTGGTCACCGTCTGCGCGTGCGCTCGGCCACATCGCTAGGTAAAACGCTCCGCCCCAGCCAACTACGTCATCAGGGCCCGCCCCGCGTTGAGTTTTGGTTCGAAGTGTCCAGTAGCGGCTGCGTCCTTCGGCTGCCCAGCGGCGGGCGTCCTGCGGCTGCCGAAGCTGGACAAGGGATTAATAGGAGAGTTTAGCTCCTTAACTTTTTCCCTTCGTTCATCCAGGGCGAACCTAGGAACTAATCCTTGCCGAGAATTTCCCTCAGATGTAGGAAAAGGGGAGAGAAGGAACATTGAAGGCTCTTGGGCCTGGTACCTTTCCTAGCAATTTGTCCATTTAGTCTCAACAGGCCTCTTAAGGACTATCGCCGTTGTACAGAGTACTCATAAAGATTTGAGTGGCTTGCCCCAGTCACAGGATTGGTGAACAACTGGGATCGCCTGGGCGTGGTTTTCTCGCAAATGGCGAGTTTATGCAACTGTTACAAGAAAAGTTTAAAACTCATTATCTACATTGAAGTACATTTGTGTGCTCCATTTCTCACTGAACACATGCTACTATACAATCCCTTATATATATATTTTTAGTGACTCATGGTTATATACTAGCCTGGTGTGTAGATATCTCATAACTGATTCTGCTTTTTTAAGAGAGATTTTTTTGCTATAAGGCATGTGCTCCTCAAGAGACAGGTTTGTTCAGCTCTGTCTCCTCCCCAGGAGGCTGGAATACCTTCTCCATTCTCCTCGCAGGATCCTGGGCGGGCACCCATGCACACACACCCAGGGGCAAATTTCAAGACTCCAGGTCCAGGACACAGACCAGGGTCCAACATGGAGAAGTCCAGTGAAGTAAGCATTGCGCCATCTGTTGGTCCAAATTCTGCCTTTTTTAAAAAAATTAAGTTATTTTTATTATCATTTTAAAATTTGCTATAGGGAATACACACTCACCAGAGAGAGACAGAGAGAGAGGGAAAGTGAGTAAGCAAGCAGCCAGGCCTGGGACTGGAACAGAGGTGGGCCACGTGGAATTCCAACACCTGAACCACCACATCATCTGCTCACCCTAGGTCCCAATTGTTAAGATAATTCTGGGCTGAATATCTTCATATATAAATCTTCACAACTTCCAACATTTTCTTTCTTTTTCTTAATTATTTTTTTTTTATTCATTCATTCATTTATTTCTTAATTTGACCAAGAGAGACAGAGGGTGAGAGAGACAAAGGAAGTGAGAAAGCAAGCCACCAGATTCAGGACTCAAACCCTGGTCGGCCATGTGGGAGTGTCCAGCGCCTTAACCATCATGCCACCTGCTGGTCCCACAACTTCCAACATTTTCTTCCAGCTGATTCCTAGAAGTGGGAAGGTGGTTTGGTGGTTAAGACAGCTGGATTCCCACATGGCCGACCATGGTTCATCCTGGACCTGGCGGCTTGCATTCTCACTTTCCCTTTCTCTCACCCTCTCACTCTGGTCTTCTCTGGTCAAATTAAAATAAAGTTAAATAAAATAATTCTTTTAGGGACCAGGACTTGGCCTAATGGCTATTTTGCTGATCTCCCATGTAGTCAACTGCGGTTTGAGTCCTGGACCCGGTGGCTTAAACTTGCGCCAGCTGTGTTTGCATGCATGCCCAAGATCCTGAGAGCAGAATGGACGAGAAGGGATTGCTGTGTGGCCATCCCCACAGGGGGTGATTTCTCGCTTTCTGACTCTTTGTCTCTCTCTGGTGAGCGCACACGTCCTATCAAAAAAATCTCTCCAAAAAAAAAATAATTCTTTTTAAAAAGTATAATTACTGAACATTCCCCTTCCTAGAGATGTTTTATTTATTTGCCCTCCCCACCAAGCCCCACTAGAAGGGTATCCTTTTTGTTAACCTCAGCAGTGCTGACTACTAACATACCTTTAAACACTTGTTTCATAGGTAAAAAATGAAATTTCCTTGTTTGACACTTGTTTGATTATAACTGACACAGTATTTTTTAGGGTGTTTAATAGCCAACTATAACTTCTATAAATTCCCTTCATAAGCTTTTTCCCTAAAGGTAAAGGATCTTGCTTGTTTTGTTGTCAGAGCATATTTTTCTTAACTTTCAGATAACCTTTTATTTGTGCTTTCAAAGTCCTTTAACTTCCTAGCATGCCAAACATTCATACCGCTAATATAACAGAACACAGGGACCACTTTTTAGATTTGCTTGCACTCTGTTGATTAACCTCAAAGGAGACTTTTTCAGAAAGGTTCAAAAATTTGTGCTTTTGGGACCAGCAGTTAGCATAATGGCTATGTTACTGGACTCCCACGTAGTTGACCGCAGTTCGAGTCCCAGACCCGGTCGGTGACTTAAACTCATGCAAGGCACGGGTGCGTGCGTGCCCAAGATCCCGAGAGAAAGGAGGAGAAGGGACTGCGGCGTGCCCATCCCCCCTGGGGGGTGATTTCTCGCTTTCTGTCTTTCTGGCGAGCACACGTGCCTGATGGCATAAACCTCTCCAAAAAAAATTAATTTGTGCTTTTCAGATACATTCCCAGAGCCAGGAGAATTTAACTACCATGTTTTTTTATACCATAGTTTTGAAACAATCCATCATTGAACATTGCAAAGATAACAGACCCAGCATGGAAAACACTATGTAATGCAACCTTTTTATGGTGTCATATTATATTTTTACTAGACGGTATCCTTCTAGAATGCAAGTGCAATGTATTGCCACAGTTTACTTGGTCATAGAATCATTTTCTTGACACATAGTTTTTTATTTTAATGAGAGTGTTTTTATTTTATTTTATTTATTTATTTATTTATTTATTTTGAGAGGTTTTTCACTATAGGGCGCGTGCGCTCGCCAGACAGACAGAGAGAGACAGAGAGACAGAAAGCAAGAAATCACCCCCCAGAGGGGATGGCCACGCCGCAATCCCTTTTCCTCCATTCTCCTCTCGGGACCTTGGGCACGCACGCACACGCACCCGGCGTAGGTTTTAAGTCACTGGGTCCGGGACGCGAACCGTGGTTGACTACGTGGGAATCCAGCGACATAGCCATTACGCTAACTGCTGGTTCCCAATAAGAGTATTGTTTTAGAGAGATTTTTTGCTATAGGGCACATGCACTCACTGGAGAGACAGAGACAAAGAGAAAGCAAGAAATCACCCCTCAGGGGGATGGCCATGCCATAATCCCTTCTCCATTTTCCTCTCAGGATTTTGAGCACGCATGCACATCACCCAGTGTCTTTTAAGCTGCCAGATTTGAGACTCGAACCATAGTCGACTACATGAGAACCCAATATAACCATTACACCATCTGCTGATCCCAAAGAGAGATTTTTTTTTAAACAGTGCCTTGCCATGTCATGCTCCTCCTGCCCCAGCCTCCTAGTTAGCTAGGACTACAGGTACACCACTATACACCACCATGCACAGCCACCAGGCAGGGCACCCTCTGATTTACATCATTGGGGCTGGGCCAGACACATATTCCATTTGCCCACTAACAGCTCTATCACAGTGTCTTCTTGCACAGGAGATTGACACAGCACTCGAATTTCTAGCTAGGTACTTGAGGCATTCCTTGTCCTTGCCCTATGTTCTGAAAAAGCATTATCATTCTTTGGTGGAAAGAACATTCTGATGACCAGTAACTCAATGTTTGACTTTCTTTCCTTCTTTCAGTAAGTGGCAGTCCTGTGGAGTGAGAAACAGAAAAGAAGAGCAACTGGAAGGGACAGTCTTGCAAAAACACAGGTAAGTGGGGCCAGCAGGTGATGTGGGGGTTAAGGAGCTGGATCGCACACAGTGAGTCCGGGACCTGGTGACAGGCATGTGTGTGTGTGTGTGTGCGCCCAAAATCCCGAGAGGAGAATGGAGGAAAAGGGATTATGGTGTGGCCATCCCTCCTTCCACGGTAGGAGGTTGATTTCTCACTTTCCCTTCCTCTGTCTCTCTCCAGCAAGTGCACGCACCCTATGGCAAAAATTTAGCAACAAAACAAAAAATGCACACAAGATACATTAAAGACTTGCTGTGGGGATAGTGAGGACAGAGTGAATTACAGGCATGTAGAAATAAGAATAGGGGCTACCCATGACTTGGTGGCTAAGGTGGCTGTATCCCACGAGGCTGACTGTGTGGTTCAAGTCCTGGACCCTGTGGCTTTAGAAACATGCCAGGCATGTATGGGTGCATGCCCAAGTCGTGAAAGGAGGGATAAGTGGAGAAGGGATTGCTGCAATGACCAGGCTCTGTGGGAGGTGCTTTCTCACTTTTTCTCTCTCTCCAGCAAGCACACATGCCCTCTGGCAAAAAGAAAAAAGAATAGATGTGCACGTCCAAAACGACTAACATATTACATTTCCGCATAGAGGTTTTATTTACAATGATGCTCAAACAGGGTAATCAAGGACTTCTCTTTCTCCTCATACCTTAGCAGCATGGACTGTACTTCATAAACAGAAAAGAGAACTGTTCTGGGCGCGGAGGTGAACTCTCTCCTCAGAAATGTTCTCTAAATTCTAAGTTCCAAGCTCCCAGGCTTCTCACAGGGCAGTCAGTGGACACTTTATGATGAGTAGCTGGCTGCCAATGCCTGTGTCCCACTGGGGACTGTGTCCAGAGAAGACGTCAACACTGGCTGGGAAAGTTTCATGCTTTCACCTCACTCATGGCCTCCATCAGGCGAGCACTGTTGGTGACTGCTGTTGTCAGAAAAATGAACCTGTACCCTAAGGAGGAAAAGCCGCAGCAGAGGTAACCAGGGGCAGACCTCAGACCCCGACAGTAATCATATCAAGCTCCTCCAGCACCACAGGCCCCTCTGGGTCAGAGCACCAGTTTACAGACACAGTGTCGGCCACCACATCTTCCTAAGCCTGGCCAAACTGGGCTCCCTACGATGACGGCACACAGCAAGGGTATGACGAGTGGGCCCAGCAACCAGAAGAGCCTTGCTGTACAGGCTTCACCCCCCAGGTCCCATGCAGGGCTGTTCTCACCTTTCTGTTTTCTTACCTTTCTCTCTGCCCAGGAATCGAAGCGCTGAGATCTCAGAGAAGGTACAACCACCCAAGAATACCACCAAGATGAGGCGCAGGGACTCGCTGGAAGCCTTGTCTTCCTTGGTCATGTCTGTGAGGATTGGACCAAACTCAACACCTCCCTGACATGCTAGCTCTGGGTGAAGCATCCAGCCCACCTCTCACTGTCACCCTACCCACTAGTCAACACCTTGTACCTGTGAAAGCAAACTCACTGCAGTTGAGCAGCCGTACCACCTCATCCAGGCCCTGCCAGCTCCGCCGCTCCAGCACCTGGGAAGATGTAGGCACCACTTTCAAGTCTACAGACAGTACCAGGCTTAGGAAATGTAGGGCTCAGCAGCAGGTTGTGTACCAGCTCTTGCTAGTTACACGAAGAGTAAGAGGTCGGGATATGGGCCTGATGGTGGCTCAACCATAATACGTACACTCTGCAAGGCTGGCCAACCTGGGAAGGTTCTGAATTTGCATTCAGAGATCTCCCTGAGGACACCGGGCACACATGTCTACGATTTTGGGGTGGGTCGCAGCATCAGGACCCCGTTGAGGGTGCTGTCTCTCTCTCTCTCTTACTTACGGAAATAACAGATTAACTTCTTTAAAAGTTGGGATAGGCCAGGAACTAAGAGAAAACAGAGAGTGAAATGTGAATGGGGCGCAAGAATGACTTGGTCTCACCTGCTCGATGATTCGGCAGCTCAGGGGCACATAAGCACCACTGAAGACATAAGCCATGTCCCGGGGCACTTTCAGATCATATTCGCCATCCACACGTGGGATCTAGAGGGCAGAGGTACTATTTAGGCAAGAGACAGCTCAGCTCTCTGATCCTTTCAAGAATTAAATAAAAGTGACATATCCCAAAAAACAGTTATTTCAACTTATTTCAGCAATAGCTCTGGGGGAAAAAAAAAAAAAGACCATAATGGAAGATGACAGCTTCTGAGAAGGGTTTGCCTTTCCTGGCCCCGCAGTGGCAGGGGACCCGAGTACTTGCCATGTTCTCTGGCACTGGCAGAGGCTTGTTACATATTCATTGAGTGAGTATTTGTGTCTTGTCTCATTATTAAACTAAAATCATGCTATGAGGCTACCAAACAAAAGGATCTTTGTAAAGATAAAACAACGGAAAGGATTTTGTGGATTCAAAGTTCTCCACAAAGGACTGAACCCATGCCTCCCCAAGCAGCCCTGTTCCACATACCAAATTTAGCTTTTTACTGATGGCACGAAAATTGCTCCTCTTGGCCAGAGAACTGAAGGCATCAGTAATCTTCCCTGGGGAAGAAATCTGTGCTAGATTTCATCTAAGGCCTACAGGTTTGTGACACGGACGTAGGTGACAATATTCAAGAAATGACAGGACCAAGCATATCTGAAGACCCCCTTGAAGCCATTCACCCACAGTCCCGTAGAACTGATCAAGCTACCACGCTTGTCCCCACCCACAGCCTTCCTCGCCCTACAGGGAACCAGCTAACTACGAAATGCAATCTATAAGGTGACCCTAGTTTATTGGTTGAGTATATAGGCTTTGTACTCCAAAGGACCAGACTCACTAATTAAGGGACCTTTGGAAAATCTTTTTATAATTGCCAGAGAAATAATGAAGAAGAGGGGAAAAGGAAAAAGCACCCTCCAATGGCATATGGTCAGGCCACAATCCCTTCTCCGTCTTCCATTTTTCCATCCTGTTGGAATTTTGGGCACACACACACATGTGCCCAGCAAGTTTTTCAAGCCACCATGATTTAAACCATGGTCAGCCATGTGGGAACCAGTTCCCTTAACCATTAGACTGCAGGGCTAGCCTGACACTAAATTTCTCTAAGCCCCTGTTTCTTCACCTGTAAGATAAGGGCCAGCAGGAGGCATGGTGGTTAAGGCACTGGACTCCCAAATAGCCAACCATGGTTTGAGTCCCAGACCTAGCGACTTGAAAATCATGCTGAGCACACGTGCGTGTGTGTCCGAAATCCCAAGAGGACAAGAGAGGAGAAAGGATTTTGGTGTGGCCATTCCCCTTGGGACAGGAGAGTATGATTTCTCACCCCTCTTGCCTTCTCTCTGTCTCTCTAGTGAAAGCACACATCTATGGCAAAAAACCCTCCAAAAAATTTTTTTTTAAAAATGTACCTTATAGAGTCTTTAGTGTACATTAAATGAGAAACTGGAAATAAAGGGCTTAGCATGTGCTAAGTGTTCAATACGTGGGAACTACTTATTGGAGCAATGACAGTGATAGTATGGAATCACATCCTCCTCCTCCTCAAGTACGTTGTCTCTCCCACCCAGGGTGCCTATGGGGGAAAGAGGGAACAACTGGGGGTGGGGTCAACTGCACTCCCAGCTTACCTGCAGCCTTGTCAGTCACCAGCTTGCTCACTTTACTCTCCACTGCTGTGAGGGCATCCCCTGGGGCCTGCTCCGTCAGAAGCCCGGCTCGTCGCAGATTGGAGAAGGTCAGCAGGTGCTCGGGACCATAGCTCTGAAGAGAATGCAACTCAGCTATTTGTGGCGGAGCCTCCACCCAGGGTCTAGCACTGCTAGGTGATACAGAGGTGGGGACGAGAAGGCCCGTGCAGTCTCTGCTCTGCTGAGCTCACACCTTGTCACAGCGGCAACAGCCAGACACGAAGCAAAGAAAGTTAAAAGGCAGAGCATGCAACTATCACAGTACAGAGAAAGCTGAGGTGGCGGGATGGCTTCTCGGATGGCTCACAGATGGTATAAGACTTGACAAAGACTGGAAAGGATAGCTGACCCAGTAAGGGAGATTCCAGGAGAAAGCACACATTGCAGGGCCCGACAGCCAACTGTTTCAATCCTCTCAGCTCTCGGCGCCCCCATAAGAGGATGTGGACTGAAACATGGGCAGTGGGCAGAGAAGTGTACTAGGAGGTGACTGTCCCTAGTGCTGGAATAGTTAAGAGAGGGAGTCTATGGGACCAGAAGGTGGTGTGGTGGTGAAGGTGGCTGGATTCCCACATGATCAACCACAGTTTGAGTCCTGGACCCATGGCTTGAAATTCACAACAGGCACATGTCCGGGCATGGCCACCCCAAATCCCAAGAGGAGAATGGAGAAGGGACTGTGGCATGGTCATTGCCCTGGGGGCGATTTCTGACTTTCCCTCACTCTGGTAAGCACATGTGCCCTGTGGCAAAGAAAAAAACAAAAGAGGGAATCTAGAATGGAAACAAGATGGTGATGGAAAAAGAGACCATTTCTTCTTTTATCTCTTTCAAAAATCCCCATGACTGTCCTGGACTAAGTTCCCTCAGAAATATACCTTCCAAGACTTACCTGCAGATACTGTGTTTTCAGAGATCGGTAATCCTTGGGAATCAAACCTGAAGGGAAGGAAAATAAGACAGAAGTATGAGAAAGAGGCTGGCTGAGGTGCCCTGAAATGTACAGCCAAACCCACCAAAGAACCACTACCTCCATGAGGAGGAAGGATCTGGTAAACGCCATTAACCTGGCATAGCCCACAGTTGATTCTAAACTGACTTTGACAGTTAGGCTTGCCTGTTGAAAGATAAAGCCAGAGTCTGAGGGCTCCAGGGGAACTGGGTGCTGCAGAGGGTGTGGCAGGAAGAACAACTTCTTATGCATTTATTTCTGGCTAAGGGGCAGTTTTTTGGAACTGCTTTATCGGTACTGAAAAATAGGAAGTGTTAAAATGAGTTCAAAAGTGTGGTCTTAAGTGCTTTTCTTCATAGAAGGAAAAATGGGCTTCCAACTATTGGGTTGTCGAAAAAGTCAAGTGCATTTTTGCATAGAAAAAACACATCATGACTTCCTCAACAACTCAATATAATAAAGAAGGCTTAGAACAGGCAAAATATTTCTTCAGTAGAAAGCAACCTTAAAGAATATTCACCACGCCAACCATGGCCTGGTGGTTAAGACAACTGGATCCCACATGGCCAACCACATGGTTTGAGCCCCAACCTGGTGGCTTGAAAAAAATTTGGGGATGCATGCGTGTGCACACCCAAAAATCCTAAAAGGAGGGAAAACTGGAGAAGAGACTGCAGTGGGACCATCCCCCATGGAGAATGCTTTCTCTTTTTCCTCTCACTCTGTGTCTCTCTCCAATGAGTACATACACCCTCTGGGAAATTAAAAAAAGAAGGGGCCGGGACCAGCAGATGGCATAATGGCGATGCTACTGGACTCCCATGTAATTGACTATGGTTCGAGTCCCAGACTCAGTGGCTTAAACTCACGTTGGGTGTGTGTGCATGCGTGCCCAAGATCCCAAGAGGAAAATGGAGAAGGGATTGAGGCATGGCCATCTCCCCTGGGGGCGGCGATTTCTTGCTTTCTGTCTCTCTCTGTCTTTCTGGCAAGCGCACACTCCCTATAGCAAGAACCTCTCCAAAAAGAAAAAAATTTAATAAAATAAAATTTAAAAAGGGGCCAGCAGGTGGCATGGAGGTTAAGGCACTGGATCGCACATAGCTAACTATGCAGTTCAAGTCCCAGACCCGGCAGTTTGAAAATCATGCTGGACATCTGTGTGTGCATGTTCAAAATCCTGAGAAGAGACTGGAAGAGAAGGGATTGTGACAAGACCATCCCCTCTGAGGTGGTGCTTTCTCACTTTCCCTTTCTTTCTGTCTCTCTCTGATAAGAACAACACTCTACAGCAACAATTTAAAAAAAATTTTTTTTTAAAGGCAAAAACGAAAATTAAAAAAAGAATAGTCACCAACTGGAAGACTTCCATAGTAAAGCAAGTTGCTTTAAAAGGTTGCAGAATTTGGCTTTTTAGAAATGTTCATGAAAGTAGTTGGCAGTTCCTCTCTCCTGGAACATATCATCATGAAACCTTACTGAAAATAGGAGGTGGGGCAGGCTGGTGGCATGGTGGTTAAGGGCGCTGGACTCCCACATGGCTGTCCGCGGTTCGAGTCCTGGACCTGACGGCTTGCCTTCTCACTTCCTCTCTCTTGCTCTTTCTCTCTGGCTCTGTCCCTCTCTTGTCAAATTAAAATAAAATGAATAAAGTTAAATAAAATAATCCTTTAAAAGAAAAGAAGAAGAAATGAAGATAGGAGGTCACACGGAATGATGAGAAATGGCTCTCAGCTCCATACCTCTGCAGTCCCAAGAATGATAGGCACTACACTGGGGAGGCCTGGATGTGATCCTGCTTAGAGCCGGGACAACAAATTACCCTATGACCTGGTTTTGTTCACCCAGAACAAAAATGGCTTTAGTTTACAGGACAAGGAGCCCACAAAATCGGAAACATGCTGTGTGCTGAGATACTGGTCTCTTTCTTTCCAAAGCCTGTCTTCCATCCCTAAGCCATGTTTCTCATGCTGGCTCGCTCACGTTTGGTCTTTGGGGCTCACCGTTCTCAGTAATGGACAAGAGGCACATGAGGCGAAGGCTCTCTATAGGTGATACCTGCATGGGAAGATGCGTCTAAGAGCTGTGAAGTTTCACCAGGCAGGTTCTTCTCTTCTGCCACTTGAGGCCAGCCCCACCTCTAAACACCAACCCAGCCTTGCAGACACGACTCCATGCTCACCTGCCGATCTATGTGTTCTTCAATGTAGCTGGTGCTCTCCCGGATGTTGAACCCCTCCAGCAGTGCTGCGAGTAATCAGAGGAGAGCCTCTGACGGGTCGGTTCAGCCGCTGCCATCTATGCTAACAGGTGTCTATCTCCCCGTCTCCTTCTCCATCCCTGGGGTGGGTTAAGGACACCCCCCTCCCCCACCAAGGACTTGCAGCAGGAACCAGCATTCCACATAGCCCTGCCAACTGGATGAGCCTGAGAGCATCTTTTAGGGGAAGGAGAGGGCTGGGAGCCAGGGCAGAGAAGCGGGCTCAGGAGAAGCACAGGGCTGCTGCGGGTACCATGCTCAGTCTTGATCAGCTCCTGGAAGTCCTGCTTGGTTTTCTTCTTCATGATGGACTCACAGGCCCCAATATCTGCAGGCAGGACAAAAAGGGAGCTAATGTAATCGTTGTTCCAGAAGAATGTACCTTTGTCTTCCAGAAGAATAAAACCCTAACTAATTAACTGCTTGTTTGCTATAGGGCAAGTATGCTTGTTGGAAACAGAAAAGGAAAAGGAAAGTGAGAAATCACCCCCTAGCAGGGATGGCCATGCTGAATCCCTTCTCCTCTCAGGATTTTGGGCACACATGCACATGCACCTGGTGTGATTTTTAAGGTCCAGGATTTGAACCATGGACTCAGTCACGTGGGACCCAGCGCCTTAATCTCCACACCAACTGCTGATCCTAATCTTAAATCTTCCCACTTCAGACCACACAGAACCATTATTCACCAGGGATATTCAAATGGGGACCTCCTCTTGGTGACAATGATCTGTGGCATCCCCAGGAGGGATGCAGAGTCACCTCCCCTCATGCTCTTGAGCAGAAACCTACGGAGACTCAACAGGCGGTGCTCCTGTTTCAGTCCCTTGAGCTCCTGGGACACAAAGTTCTTCATCTGCTTGATGTCCATGCCTCGCCGGCGCTGTGGGGAAGCCCCTGTAAGGCCAACCTCCCCAGCCTCAGCCGTGAGAAACCACTGCCCTCCCTCAGCTGCCACCCTCCATGAGAAAAGACAGAGGACCCATCTTAGTGTTAGAAGAGAAATCAAAGGGAGCAGCCTTGGGAAGCCACTGAGGAAGGGAAACTGGTCCAGAGCTCAGAGCCTCACATCGTACTGGGCCTGCAAGTTCCGAGCCTTCTGGCTCAAGAAGCCAAAGACGTTGGAGAAGTGCTCATTACGAATCTCATTAAACACCTATGAAAGGAAAAAGATGGGAATGACTTACCAAGATGGGAATGACTTTAAAAAAAAAAAAAAAAGATGGGAATGACTTAATCACAGTTCAACCCTGACTTGTCCCTTCCTGCCTCATCAGTACAGGAAGCGCACTCGGCTGTTCTAGCAGAAGTGCAGAGAAAGCTGAGCAGTATCAGTAAGTTAATGCCCAGTTCTTACTATGTGTGGCGGGGTATGCTCTAAACAGGTGGGAAACCTCTCCTGTTTTTTTTTTTTTTGAGTTTTTTTTTTTTTTTGCTACAGGGCGTGTGCACTCGCCAGACAGACAGAGACAGAGAGACAGAAAGCAAGAAATTACCCCCCAGGGGGATGGCCACGCCGCAATCCCTTCTTCTCCATTCTCCTCTCAGAATCTTGGGCACACACGCACATGCGCCTGGCGTGAGTTTTAAGCCACCGGGTCCGGGACGCAAACCGCGGTCAGCTATATGGGAGTCCAGCGACATAGCTATTACGCTAACTGCTGGTCCCAGGAAACCTCTCCTGTGAACTCAGCCTCCACCGCCATAGCTGGGACCCACAGTCTGGTGCAAGCAATGGCTCTGGTAAATCCATTGCAAGTGCCCATGCCCTCACCTTGTCCTCTGCGTTGAGCAGCACCTTCAGGCTCTTGTCCGAGGACGTGACTTCTGGGCCAAAGTCAACACTCCCTTTGAGAGCAGAGAGAGTAGTTATTAGCCTCTCCAAAGAGGTCCTCTCCCACCCTTTCCTAAACTGCAGAAATCGTCTCCCAAACTACTTGGTAGCCAGCCGTTCACTCAGAGTCTGGGTCTCTCCACTAGCCTGGCCCCACTGTGAGGGGCACCAGAGGCTGATGCCCACTTCCATCTCACCAAGGTGCAGGGGACCACAGCACTTACCACACTTGATGCGGAAGGTGTCGTCTACCAGGCCCTCATAAACCACTTGGGAGCAGAGCGCCGTCACAAAGTCCATGTCTGAAACCAAGATCCCTGACCATGAAAACTCCTGGCCCCAGCCTTCTGCCCAGGGTGCTCGTTACCAACTCAAGTACTGCCCACAGGGCCTCGGCATGCACGTTCCTGATCCACACTGCGGTTCACAGCCGATCTTCAGGACTCTAACTTTGCTAACACACTTTCCACATCCCCATGTTTCTAGGGTCCAAAAACAAGAGGAATGAGGGGCAACATGTACCTCTGTCCAGGAGAAAAATATGTCCAATCTCTGGCCTTCGGCCCTTGGTTTCACCATCCTCCTCCTCCTCCAGTTTCCTCCACAATTCATATGACATCTGCCAGGGCCCAAGACATCCTCAATATTGCATACAGATCCCTCTTGCAGTCCCACTCCCACAGAACCCAACCACTTTTTTTTTTTTTTTTTTTTGAGAGATTTTCACTGTAGGGCGCGTGCGCTCGCCAGACAGACAGAGAGAGACATAGAGACAGAAAGCGAGAAATCACCCCCCAGGGGGGATGGTCACGCCGCAATCCCTTCTCCTCCATTCTCCTCTCGGGATCATGGGCATGCACGCACACGCGCCCGGCGTGAGTTTTAAGCCACCGGGTCCGGTACACGAACCGCGGTCGACTACGTGGGAATCCAGCGACATAGCCATTACGCTAACTGCTGGTTCCCAGAACCCAACACCTTTGAGGTGCCACTTCTCTTTACCCTCAAGGGAGTTAACTAATTCTGAACAACATAAACTGGTCTATTCCCATCTATACCTATCCCTTCCTCGCCCTCCCCATATCCGTGAACAAAGAGTGCTAATCTGCCTCAAAGATAAAAAGAGATTTAGGAATGCTACCCAGGAGGCCCTGGCTCTTGCCTTTCTTTCTTTCTTTTTTTTAAAGATTTATTTAATGGGGCTGGCAGGTGGCATGGTGGTTAAGGGCACTGGACTCCCACATGCCAACCATGGTTCAAGTCCTGGACTTGGTGGCTTACTTTCTCTCTTTCTCCCTCTGTCTTACAAAACTGGTAAATGATAATAATAATAATAATAAATAAAGTTAAATAAAATAATTTTTTAAAAAATATTTAATTTATCATTATTAGTATTATTTTAATTTAATGAGAGAGGAAAAGTGAGAAGGCAAGTCACCAGGCCCAGGACTCCCAACTGCCGTCAGCCATGTGAGAATCTGGTGTCTTAGCCCTCACTCCACCTGCTGGCCTTCTGATTCTTGCCTGTTTGATATTACTCAAGTTCTCCTCTCTGAGAAATTATTCTGGAACTGTAAAGGGGATAAAGAATACATTTCTGAGACCAGCAGATGGAGTAATGGTTGCATCACTGGACTCGCACATAGTCGACCATGGTTTGAGTCCCGGACCTGGTGGCTTAAAACACACTGGGCACGTGTGTGTGCATACTCAAAATCCAAAGAAGAAAACGGAGGAGAAGGAATTGCAGCGTGGCCATCCACCCTGGGGGGTGATTTCTTACTTTCTGTCTCGGTCTCTGGCGAGCGCACATGTCTTATAGCAAAAAAACCTCTCTAAAAAAAAATTAATAAGGGACTAGCAGTTGACGTAATGGCTATGTCGCTGGACTCCCATGTAGTTGACTGCATTTTGAGTCCCAGACCCAGTGGCTTAAACTCATACCAGGCACGTGTGTGTGCGTGCTCAAAATCCCCAGAGAAGAATGGAGGAGAAAGGGATTGCAGTGTGGTCATCCCCCCGGGAGGTGATTTCTCGCTTTCTGTATCTCTGTCTCTATTTTTCTTTCTGGCAAGCACACACGCCCTATAGCCAAAACCTCTCCCCTGCAAAAAATAAATAAATAAGAACAACAACAATAATAATGAAAGAAAACACCTCATCTGGGACCAGTAGGTGGCACGGTGGTTAAGGTACTGGACTCCCACATGGCCAACTGTGGTTTGAGTCCCAGACCTGGTGGATTACTTTCTCACTTTTTCTCTCTCTCTCTGGTAAATACACATGTCCTAGACCAAATTTAAAATAACAATATTGTGTTGTCAGAAAAGTCATGACATATTTTCTAGGTTTTTTGATGCAAAAATGCATCATGACTTATCCGAGACCCCAATAATAAATAAAAGTTTAAAAATAAATAATTCTTTTTTTTTTTTGGAGAGCTTTTCACGATAGGGCGCGTGCGCTCGCCAGACAGACAGAGAGAGACAGAAAGTGAGAAATCACCCCCCGGGGGGATGGCCACGCCGCAAT